TACCTGTTTGTGCCTTTCCTAACCTGCGGAATATATTTTTTTTGAGCTTCTAGAATTGTAGTTTTAAACAGTTTCCAAGCTTCCCCAATGGTTTTGACCCTTTCTACTTTTCTTTTCAGTTTCCTCCCCACATGTCCCCTCATATCAGAGAAGTTACCCTTTTTAAAGTTAAAAGTGGTTGTGTCAGTCTTTTTGGCCAATTCCCTATTTATACACATGTTGAACTCAATAACATTATGATCACTGTTCCCAAGCGGTGCAATCACTTTTACATCTCTCACCAGGTCTTGAGTGTTACTTAGCTCTAAATCAAGGATCGCCTCTCCCCTGGTAGGTTCTGTGACCATCTGCTCCATAGCACAGTCATTTAGAATGTCTAGAAACTCAAGCTCTTTTTCTCGACTAGAACACATATTGACCCAATCAATGTGTGGGTAGTTAAAATCACCTATTACGACACAGTTTTTTTGTCTAGCTGCTATCTTTAATTCATTCATTATTTTATAATCCTCCTCTATCTTTTGATCTGGTGGGCGATAACAAACTCTAGTATTAAGTTTCCTTTTGGGCCCACTATTTCAACCCATAGAATTTCCAGAAGTGAATCCAATTCTCTTAGCCTCTCAGTCTTTCTAGACTTTATACCCTCTCTGACATACAGAGCCACCCCACCTCCAACCCTTCCCCGCCTATCCTTCCGATATAATATATAACCGGGAATCACTATATCCCACTGATTTTCCTCATCCCACCAAGTTTCTGAAATACCCACAATGTCTATTTTTCCCTCCAACACCAAGCACTCCAACTCCAACTTAAACCCATGAGACTTAATCTGGCCTTCTGTAGCCACAGAAAACAAGTATTTGCATTCTTTCATGTGACAGCCCTTCAGATAGTCATGTTCCCCTCCATCTTCTCTTCTCCGGGCTAAACATATTCAGTTCCTTCAGGCTTTATTCACAAGGAATTTTTTTCCAGACCCCCCCAACCCATTTGTTGCTGTCTTCTAAGCCACTTCCAGATTGGCTGCATCTTTTAAAAAGTGCAGTGCACAGGATTAAACACAGATAGAACAAAGCACATGCCTTTACCCTTGATTTAGCAGGACTACATGAGATATTTTTGCTAGTGGCTGAAGCTATCAGAAACCAGCAGTTAGATCTGAGAATAGCTACAAGTATAAAAAAGGTAAAGGTTCCCTTGCTCGAAAGCCAGTCGAATCCGACTCTAGGGTCCGACCCTAGGGTCATCTCCGTTTCAAAGCCAAAGAGCCAGCACTGTCCGAAGACATTTCCATGGTCATGTGGCCGGCATGACTAAACACCAAGGTGCACGGAACGCTGTTACCTTCCCACCGAAGTGGTACCTATTTATCTACTTGCAACTTCTTGCTTTCGAACTGCTAGGTTGGCAGGAGCTGGAACTAGAGACGGGAGCTCACTCCGTCATGTGGCAACTTGGGTCTCGAACTGCTGAACTACTGACCTTCCACAGCCTGCAGTTCAGCATCTTAACCACTTGAGCCACCGCAGCTACCTGCAGATATAGTAATGGAGGCAATCTAGCCCATATAGAAACAAACTCATCAACGGTTTATTTTTAATTCAGACTATTTAATACAGTGTATTTTAAACTCTATGTGACAGGTTATTTTTGCACTTTCTCCCATAGGGGACGTATCAAACACTTAGATGTGGTAACACTTCTGCGTCGGATACAGCCTCCACTGGGCTTTGGCAAGCTCTGCCCTCACCGAGTGGCTTGTAAAGTAAGGCGGTACTTCCCAAATGTTTTGCTAAGAGATGTGCCAACAGAATTTAGTATTTGTTTTCAGTCTTCTCACTTGATCCAAGCATAAGCTCCTACTAAAAATGCCTTTGGTAACATTTTTAAGCAGTAGCCTAGTAGCTCCTTAAGGTGTCACTGGACTCCTGTTTAATTTTGTTACAACAGACTAACATGGCTCCCTGTGGAATTAGAAATCAATTGCAACAATATTCAATGTTGATATCAATCTGGGCAGGAACTTTTGGGGCAGATCCCTTTGCTCCTATGCCCCAGTTTCACATGAGTGAGTGAGTGAGTGAGTGAGTGCGTGCGTGTGTGTGTGTGTGTGTGTGTGTGTGTTGGGAGGGTCAGCTGTCAGGAAAACCTGGAAGTGTTTTTGTTTGAGTAGTCATGCCTGCAATTCACACTGATGGCCTTATTTATTTTATCAAAACATTTATACCCAACCTTTCCTCGTAGTTCAAGGCAGCTTGACACTCATGCAGAGGCAGTGATTCAGAAATTTCTAAAGCTAGGATCTAGGCATGAAAGATCTCCTTCCCCAGAAAAGCACACCTTCAAACTGGGACTCACACTTTTCTCATTCATTTCCTTCCAAAACATAGAAGTATACTAGATTAATGTTAAAGGCAGGTCATGTGAATGCACAAATGACCACCATGCTGCACAAGGCTGAGGTCCAGGAATCAAATTACTACAACTGGAGCCAAAAGTGTAGCACAGATATTGTTCCAGCAAAGACTGAAGGTGAAATGAGGCCTTAAATACTCTTTCATGGGGGTGGAGATACAGGCCCCAAAGTAGGCTGCCCAGTAGTTATTCTAGCTGCCATCTCTGACGGTGGAGTCAATCTGAATGTGAGCTGACCCTGGGAAGACGACCAGATGACCTGAAGAACTGGTCATGAAGGGACGATAGTAGTATTATTCAGAACTTATGCTGATGGGTTCGGCTGGTCAACGGAACCCCATCTTGGACCGATAAGAACTATCAAGAGCACCGGCACTTTGTTGTGATGGATTGTTTTATTATGTTTTTAGCTGTTCAATTATGGCATATGCCTCTTTTGTTAGCTTCCCTGAGCCCATTTGGGAAGGGCGGGATATAAATTTAATAAATAAATAAAGTGCTGTGCCTGGTTACAGTGGTGAGTGTTGTGATAGGGGCTGAGGTGGTTCAGAGCTTTGAGGAGTTGGTGGATGAGAGACCTCTGATTCAGCAGTGGGCTCTGGATGGAGGGTTCAAGTCCAAAGCAGAAGGCAAGACTGTACATCAGGGTGAGTGCACTCAGAGGCTTGGGGTTCCTCCTGCACATCAAAGAGGCTCCTGGAACTGTCTCGACTGCCTCCTTCTGTGGTATTGGTAGCTGCCCAGCTGCCTCTTCTGAGTCTTCTATGTCGAAGTGATACAGCACAGCCCGCAGCCGGTCGGCGAAAGACGAGTGGTCCAGGGCAGCGATCAGCACGTGGTCTAAAAATGGCTGAACTCCGGGGATACCTTTTAGGAGTGAATCCATAAAAGACTGAAAAATACCTGGTGCAACCGAGACTCCGAACTGGAGGCGGTGAACCTTGAAAGCCCCCTTGTGCATCATGATAGTCTGAGCCTCAGCCGTGGTGGCATCAACCGGCAATTGTTGATACGCCTGGGCCAAGTCCAACTTGCCAAAAACCCGGGGGCCCGCAAAAGCAGCCAACACATGGCTCACCACCAGCACCGGGTAAGCGTGTGCCTGCAGAGCCTTATTGAGCGTGCATTTGTAATCAGCACAAATGCGCACATCCCCGTTTGGCTTCACCGGGGTGACTATGGGATTGTCCCACCGTGCAGATGCCACTGGTTCTAAAATCCCTTGTTCCACGAGGTGATCCAGCTCAGCCTCAATCTTAGGCTTCATTGCCAGCCTGGCCTTAATGCGAATGAGGCGCACCACAGGGTCAAGGTCCAGAGAAATAGGGGGCCCAGAGAAACGTCCCAGGGTGCCATCGAAAAAGAGGGGAAATTCAGTGCACACAACGCCAAAATCCTGTGACCGGACCTGGTTGACCCCATTCAAAGATAATCCCAAGGGCCCGAACCAGGAGAGGCCCAGCAGACTGGAAAGTCGCTCCTCCACAACCAGCAGGTCTAAATGGCTGCTAAAGTCCTGGAACTGTACCCGGAACTTGCCCCAGCCCCGTATCGCCACGGGGTTCTTATTACAGTCCCGTAACGCAAAACCCCGTGGCTTATGCGGGGGGGCCCTTTGGGACACAGCTGACGGAGCGTATCCGCGGAGATAATGGAGAACGATGACCCCGTATTGATCTCCATGCTGCAGGGGAACTCCTCTATGAGAACCGTAACATGCACTTTGTTGGGGCTATCCGGGGGCAAGTTACATACCAGATGCTGGTGGTGGTGGGCCGAGAGAGAGTGGAGGTCGATGAGCTGGTTCGTCGAGGTCTGGTGGGCAGAAGTCTCCAGGCGTTGTCCTTTGGAGCAGCAGACCCGGGAGATGTGCCCCGATTTGTTGCACGTCCTGCAAACGGTGTTCCGGAACCGGCAAGACCTGCGTTTGTGGTCCTCCCCGCAGCTGGCGCACGGAGCCGAGGTAGCCAAAGACACTTTGCCTGAGTTGGAAGACGGCTGATGTGGGCGCTGAGACGACCGATGGCGGACCTGTAGCGCCTCGTCCGAGGCGTCGGAGCTGACAGTCGCTTACGTACGATGGACCGCCTTGGTGCGGCGGTCTTGATGCGATTTCTTTTATTCTTTTTTTAAAACCCCAAAGGGATATTTTTTTAATTTTGCAATATACTACAAACTACAAAGAAAATTTTAGGGAGGGGGCTACAATTAGGGATAAAGGAAAGCAAAACACACTATACTAAAACCCCAAGAGTAGGAGATCTTATCTCTGTTAATCTGAATGTTAGTATTATCGGTGTTAATATCACAATATACTTGTTGAGTTCTTGTTTATCTTAGCTTCAGTGTCTATATGTTAATATGTTAGTTGTTATGTGAGTGCTTCCTGATCATCTTCACTTCAAAAGGCCATTTTCCAAGGCCTTCTGCCTTTACTTCGGCTTTCTGTCTCTAAAATCATATACAACTCTGGCTGGACCAGCTCCCGTTTCTGCAGCAGAGTCCTCTTCCGTTCCAGAGGTGGCAGAGTCACTACATTTCATTTCTTCCTCTTTAGACTCTTCCTCTGTTCCCAGCTGACGCCTTACAAACTCTTTGGCTTTAAAAATGGAGTCAATCTTCTCTCTTCTGTCGTTGATCTTAAAGATGACACCCTCCGGGACCACCCATCTGTACGATATTCCATTAGTTTGAAGGAAAATAATTCTTTATAATTTTTCCTCTTTTGTCTGATTTCAAATGGAATGTCTTTTAAAGTTTTGATGATTACATTTCCCATTTTCAGTGGAGTTGCTGATGCCGCTTTTAAGATAGCATCTCTGGTCTATCTTCTTGAGAATCTGACCACTATTTCTCCAGGCAGGCTATTTTTTTATATATAATTGGAGTATGCCCTATAGGCTAGCTCCATTTCTTTTACAAGTTAATCCACTGTTAAGCCTATTACTGGAGCGATGATCTCGCTAAGCATCTTCCTCAGGTCTTCCCGCTCTGCTTCAGGAACTCCCTGGAACCTGAGAATCATGTTAGCTTTTTCCATCTGTAGCTGAAGCAACCCATTTTCTTGGAAGTTTTGCTTCATTTCCACTTCTCCCATTCTTTTCTTCAATTTCTTACTTGTGATGTCTATCTCTTTAATTTTCTCATTTGCCTGCTCCACTTTTTTCTCAGTTTCATTCAGCTGGAGCTGCTGAGCTGCAAAGTTCTTGTTCATCACGTTCAATTGCTGGTTAATACCATTGAGTTGCTCCATCACTGGTTTAAGCATATCCGCTAGCAGTTTAATTACGTCTGCTCCCAGTTTTGGGCTCTAATGCCCGGCGGTTTTGTTTTCAGCTTTCTCTGCTGGGCCGCCATTTTCTCCGTTTTATTTACACTTTCTACCACTCCTTCCCGGCTCGAAAAACTCGCCCCTCGGTAACGCGAATCAAGTAAGTCTCTCAGTACAACTTTGTTAAATTTCCTCCCCTCTCCCCCTTCGATCGCTTGTCAGTTCATGCGCATAAGAGGCGTCCCTCTTTGCGGCTTCTTTTATCATATACTCTCAGTGTTGAAGTGGTCTCCTGCACTTGATGGCATTTTTCCTGCAGGGGTTTTACTGATGACTGAGAACAGTACCTCTTCTTAGTCCACTTCGAAGAGAACTTCCCAGATGAAATCTTTTTTAAGTGCTGGGGAAGAGAGCTACTATCACTGGGCACTGCAAAAAGGAGAAAGACAAAGCAAGTCCTTCAGTGTCAGATGAACTGGCAATGCATGTCCAAATCCCAGCACTAGAACTTTCCAAATTGTTGTTTCTGCACCCATCAGTAGTGATGTACTGAGACTACAAAGAAGTTAGCTGCTAACAGAATACTCTGAAAGTTCTTGTCAGAATCTAGAATCAGGGAATGGAACAAAAGCTAGAGCATGAGCATTTGTGTGACACTGTCTGTGTGAATGCGACAGGAAGGGGGGAAATCATCCAAGTATTGTCACAGATCTCCTTGTGTAGTATCACTACTACTACTAATAAAAGGTGATCAGGCAATTTGTGCCAGGGGAAGGGGTTCTAGGGACAAGATATTCATCAAAGGTCAGTAATTCTAGAAACCAAGTACAGGAGCCTTCAATAATGTCCATTTGGATCATTTGTTGTCCTGGAGTACAAAAACTAAACCTAGACTGATTTTTTATAATTGTATAGTCTAGTTATATCATTAACTGTTTGAGTGGCAATGATATTTTCTGTTATGAAACAGAAACTATTTTTAAAGGCATATTCAGACAGCAGCGCTGCATAATGATCATAGATTATGGAAATGCCCTGGAAAAATACATGAATACATGAACTACAAGGCCCATGCCAGTCCATGTCAAGTGACTATTTCTTTGCTCCTTAACAAGAAGTTGGCAGCAATCTCTGCACTATCTTTTATCAATGACTGTAGCCTGCAAATATTGCTGGGATGCCTGCAGTTCAAAATCAGACAAACTCAGTCACCACAGTCTGTCATAGTGATGGCTGAAAGAGCGATCAGGAAAAAAGAATTATGAATGCCTTTATTATATCAGAATTACAAATTTACAGAATACAGAATGGGGAACCAAATATGCCAAATATAATTTTATCAAGTGAATAGATATTACTGTACTACATACAAGTTAATACGAATAGTTACAAAAATTAGCTTATATCAAATAAGAGAATCAACAATGTGTTGTATTCAAATAAGAGAATCAACAATGTGTTGTATAACGAAGCTGTTGACTTTTCTCTTCGTTTCGTTTCCAGGCTTCCTCAGAAGTAGATTCTCCCGTTCAACAATTAACATTTACTGTGTGATGTTTCCTTTATTCTTCATACATTCTTTATACTTGTCAAAGTTTAGTATCCAACTACGTAACAATAACCTTCATATCCCGCTGTAATCCAATTAGTTTACGCTATGCAATGTTAGATGTAGGCACTCTAACATTGCATAGCATAAACTAATTGGATTAGAGCCGGATTATTCACTTGATAAAATTATATTTGGCATATTCGGTTCCCCGGTAATTCTGTAAATTTGTAATTTTGACTTTTTGGCAACTGGGAGGTCTCTTTGTAATTGCCTTTATTATATGCCATGATGTTTATGGCTGTGCATATGCATACTGACGGAATCCTTACATGTATCCTACTGATAGCTGAGACAATAATACAGTAGAATATCCTTTATCATGCTATGCTGCAGTTTCCTCTGAAGTATTAGGAAACAATCACTCCTAAAGCAGTTTGCTGAATTTGACAGACTATTAGTTCCCTGAAGAAAAAGTTGAGAAATGAAGTTTTGAAACTGGTGTGAGAAAGAAGCATATTCTGTATCAGTATCGTGTTTTCTATCTTTTCCTTCCCCTATAGCGCCTTGTCTCCATGAATATGCCACTGAATAGTGATGGGACTGTCATGTTTAATGCCACTCTTTTTGCACTGGTCAGAACAGCACTGAGGATTAAAACAGAAGGTAAGATAAAGGCCTGAAATATCTGACATGTTTTCGCATGACATATATGGTACATGGGGACAGACAGAAGAAAATTTACCTAAAATGAGTTTCAGAACTGTTATTTTAAAAACTTCAATCCAGGTTCAATATTAAAACAAAATGTTTGCTTTTCAAAGTCAAACTGTTTAACACCTCAGAATCTGATTTTACTTCTGAGGATCACCAGACTTGAGCATCAACCAGAATGCTTACTCAGACCTTTATATCTGAGCAAGCATCTAGTGATCAAGGATCTAAGAGGGGTTGGATAGCATTTTTAACAATACCTTTTTTATTTTAAACATTTTAGAGTTTTTAACTGGTAATTTGTTTTCATTAAATTTTATTCACAATGAGAAACTGGTGGATTGGGTAGGTTGCAGATCTAAAATTATTTTTAAATTGTTAATTATTTTAAAGCACAGACATTCAGCCATTGATATCCCACACTCCATCAAGAAAGTCCTAAATTAGTTCACAACACAATCATTCAAACAATAAGCAACTTAATTGAGGGATGTACACTAAAACAACAGCATTAACTATTTGATAGAACCAGAATAGTAAATTGGCATTATTTATTTATATTTAAATTATTTTTGCCTTACTTTCTCAGTCCCAGGATCACAGAATCATAGCATTGGGACCTCCAGGGTAATCTAGTCCAACTCCCTGCACAATGCATGAAATTCACAACTACCTTTCCCACACACACCCAGTGACCCCTGCTTCATGTCCAGGAGATGGCAAAAAACTTCCAGGATCTCTAGCCAAACTGGCCTGGAGAAAAATTGCTTCCTGACTCCAAAGGGTCGATCAGCATTTCCCTGGGCATGTAACAAAGGGCCACAAGAACTAATCACTGATGCAACCCTTCCTGCCCTCCTTCTCATGATCTGCCTAAGTTCACAGAATCAGCATTGCTATCAGATGGCCATCTAGCCTCTGTTTAAAAACCTCCAAAGGAGAGCCCACCATCTCCCAAACAAAGCCTGTTCCACTGAGGAACTGTTACCACCAATGGCCTGCCTTGTTGTTGGGAGAAATTAGCTATGTGGCAGGGGAGGCCAGAGGGGTACAGGAATCACACACCAATTGTATACCAAGGTCCGGAACAGTAGGAAGGCTCCAGATTTGAAGAGTAAATTAAATATTTTATTTAAAAGTTTCCCTAATTACAAGCACACTAAGCATTCCAAAATAGCAAGCAATACAAAACTAAGAAAGCAGAGGTGATTGATAATGAATAGAGGGGTCAGTTACGGGTTAATACTATCTGTCTAGACATGCAGAAGTCCTTGAAGAGAATAGCACCAATGGCCAGCATTATGCGCTATGGGAAGGCCCCAAGAAGAGACTCTAGGGGTGTACTCAAAGTACCGGCACCCTCCTGAGTGCACACCTAGATGGCCATGTCCGTGGATAGATATACACCTTGGAGAACAATGCTGACCAATAGGAGGTCTTGACGGGCTTGTCTCAGGTGAAGACAAAAGATTACCTGGGCCAGTCATGGGTCCCAAGGGGTGCAGCATCAGGAGGAGCCAGACCTAGGTGTGACCAGTGAGGTTCCAGAGGGGCAGAGCCTGGATTAACAATAGCATTGATGGTTTTTCTGTCCACTAATTATCCAGTCAATGCAGTTTGAAAAAGTTCCCAGGGTTATACAAAAGGTGGGAGATGGGTCCCTGATAAGCATCAGAAAGGATCATTAAACATTTGAATGTATGATTAGTTTATCTCAGTATCCTGAGGGAAGGAGTAGGAAGGACAGTTGGGGAGACAAAGGATTTCCACATAGACATAGATGCACACAAAAGGGCTGGGTGAAGTTCTGGAGACAGAAAGGCTAATCACCAGGAGGTCTTTGAACAGCCTTTAGAAATGTAGATACTTTACCTGGTAGAACTGCCATTGTTGCATATGCATACCTTTGTTGGGTGGGGGAGAAGACTGGAAGTTTCCTCTGAGGGCTGCCTTTATACCATCTGAAAATAGAGAGCCTTTTCCAAAGCGATGGCTTGCTCTGTATTTCACAACCAGGAGTGCCTTCCTTGGGTCTCTGGTTCAGGTTAGAAAGTGGGGTGCCCCTTCTGTTGGGGCTACCCTAGAGTAAGGCAGCGCCTCTGGGCTACAGAACTGCTCTGTCAGTACTTTCTTCCTAAAATTTAGCTGAAAACACTTTTGATTTATTTTCAACCCATTGGTTCTGGTCTGACCATCTGAGGCAACAGAAAACAACTCTGCACCAATATTTCCTCTAAGCTGTGGAGTCCTGTGAGCAAAAATTCTACTTTGTGAGCTAATGACATTAAAGTTGTGAGTGAGCGATTTGGCTACTGCATAAATTAGTCTGCTCTGGGGCCATCCTTCCTGAGCTAAGACAAAAATGTGTGAGCCAGAGGCTAAAAAACTGTGAGCTAGCTCACACTAACTCAGCTTAGAGGGAACACTGCTCTGCACCATCCTTTACACGACAACCCTTCAAGTACTTGAAGATGGTTATCATATGACCTCTCAGTCGTCTCCTCTCCAGGCTAAACATACCCAACTCCTTCAACCTTTTCTCATAGGACTTGGTCCCCAGACCCCTCACCATCATCGTTGTTCTCCCCTGGACACATTCCAGCTTGTCTATATCCTTCTTAAATTGTGGTGCCCAAAACTGAACACAATACTCTAGGTGAGGTCTAACCAGAGCAAATTAAGTGATACCATCACTTTGCATGATCTGGACACTATACTTCTGTTGATACAGCCCAAAATTGCATTTGCCTTTTCAACTACTGCATCACACTTCTGACTCATGTTCAGTGTATGGTCTGCTAATACCCCTAGATCCTTTTCGCACAAACTACTGCCAAGACAATTCTTTCCCATCCTAACATTATGCATTTGATTTTTCCTACCTAAATGCAGAACTTTACATTTATCCCCATTGCAATTCCTCTTATTTGTTTTAGCCCCGTTTTCCAGCCTGTCAAGATCATGATGTTTGAGGAGGCTTCCCAAAATGTCAACAATACTTTAAAATAACAAGATTACAACAGGCAAAGCAACAGCATAAAAATAGGAAATAAGAGAACATAGTACAACATAGTAAAAAAAGCATCAGATAAAAACAATGGAAGCAGCCCAAAATATATGAAATAGCATTCTTAAAAGCAAAAAACAGTTTCCAGCAGTGTTCCTGCTAAGCTGAATTAGTGTGAGCTAGCTCACAGTTTTTTGGTCTCCAGCTCACACATTTTTGTCTTAGCTCAGGAAGGATGGCTCCAGAGCAAACTATTTTATGCAGTACCCAAATCACTCACTCACAACTTAATGCCAGTAGCTCACAAAGCAGAATTTTTTCTCACAAGACTCCACAGCTTAGAGAGGATTGGTTTCCAGTGCTCAGAGGGTACAGCTCCTATTCTAGTTTAAAGCCTGACATTCCTTATCCTGAAGGGATAAAGAATGGGAATTTATGGTTTTGGATGTACTTAGATTCATGCATAGGGACACAGGTGCCTGTCAGCTGCCTATTTGTGGGTTGTGGGGTTGTTCACAGATGTTTTCTTCAAAGTGAAGTTCCCTCAGATAAAGTTTTAATTCTCCTGTGGTCTAGAGAGCTGATGATCCTCAGGTCTTCTCCCAATGCTATGGTCTGTCCATTTTTTTACTGTCTCTGGAATCTCTGGGGCTCACTGCCTCCAATACACTCTTCCTTCTGCTGACTGTCCCTCTACTGTTGTCATTTTATATGGAGCCACTGATGGCAAAATTCCTCAGAAGGAGTATCTGCTGACAGTAAAATCTAACAATAAAGCAAGAAGCAAAAAATGTATCACAAGGCAAAAAAAATCCCACTAACATATCTTCATCAACAAAATGCCCAGGAAGAAAAGAAAGATGTCCTTTGGTAACTAAAGCTCATCAGGCTTAGTGCCAGGCAGCTGGCTGTGGGGAAGGGATTCCAAAGCTGAAGTGCCATGATAAAGATGGCCCAAAGAAGACCTCTGAAAATGCAGGCATGCAGACCAGGGCCTCTGCCAAGGATCTTAGGTGCCTGGTAAGTTTCTTTGGGAGCAGGCATCCCTTGAATTACCCCAGTGCATTGGGAGATGGTTTACTTGAGGCAGCTTCATATGCATTGGCAGCTTAGTATGCATTGTAGATATTTTTCTGCTCTCTGTTTATACACATGAAGAATGTATTCAAACCCCTTAAATTCTTTTGCCTCATCCTCTCCCACGGTGCCTTGTTGATCATGAAGATATGTATGTCTTCATTTATCTTTCTTGTCCAGTCTTCAGTTTTTTGATCAGACCGAAGCTCTTTCTGAAAATCCTGTCTTCCTGTAATTTCCTATTTAAAATAGCTGTACATAAATGGGCATATTTCTGTGTTGCATAAGAACTGCCATTCCTCTAATGACTTATCTGAATACCATTTCCTCTGGCAGGTAACTTGGAGCAAGCCAATGAAGAGTTGCGTGCAATCATTAAGAAAATCTGGAAGCGTACCAGTATGAAGCTTCTGGATCAGGTTGTCCCCCCAGCAGGTGGTAAGTACACCTGTTTTTCAACTGTCTCTTTAGTCCTACTGACAATCTGTAATTTGCTCTGTGATCCCCAAGAAAAAAGAAACTACCTTACTTTAATGTAAAAATACCTAGTTGCCCGGCTGCCACTAAATAGTTGTTTATCAGCTGAACATAACTGTTTTCAGCATCTTCTTTGCTTTTTTTCAAAATGTCCTTACCTAGATGATGAGGTAACGGTTGGAAAGTTCTATGCCACATTCCTAATCCAAGAGTATTTCCGGAAATTCAAGAAACGCAAAGAACAGGGCCTTGTTGGTAAACCTTCACAGCGAAATGCACTTTCTCTCCAGGTAAGAAATGCGCACCCAGAGTAAAGGCCATATATATGAAAACGCAAAGTGGGCCTTTTACATATTGGTTAGCATTGTATCACCCCATTCACCTGTATTTTCTATTGTCCTTTCAAAGATGTAAACCAGGGATTCTTATTCTATGAGCAGGGCAAACGGTTATGAGGAGCTCCCAAAGGCAGATACAAACTCTCTTCTGACAACTCATAAACAGAACATCATTCTCTCTCACTCACTCACTGACTCTATCACACACACAGAGTAATTGCAGTATAGCTATGTCAGCTACCCTTTTTTGTGCTTTTTCTTGTTTCAGAAGGGATAATGCTCGATTTTTCACAGGCTTCTGGGGTTTTCTGAAGCCTCAGTTGCATTGCAGTCATTTATATGTCCACTGCAAGATCAAATCATAGGATGTGGTCAAGTCTTTCCTTTGGGTAGGAAAAAATAAACAATTTTTTTACTTACTAAGGAGTGACAAAGTAGGATAAAATTCAAGATCATAAACTGGGCTTACTGGTTAAAGAAGATCCTTCAAACCTAAGCACATTTACTAGGAAGTAAGTTCCATTGGAATCAAAAGAACTTACTTCCAAGTAATGTATTTTGGGTCAAATTGAAGTGAATGTATAAGTGAAAGCAGCATCCTGAGTACTGAGAGAAACTATTCTGTTGTCATTCACCATCTCTGAGTTTCACTATATTATAAAGATAAATAATGCAATTAAAATATTATTTTGTGGCTGACACATATTTAGTGTTCTAATATTTCCCTTAACACCTTTGAAGAAAAGATTACATGATTTTAGTGTACAGTCACAGTTATAGTAAATAAGAATATTTTCATGCTGTGCCCAAGTAACCAATGTCCACTCACCCAAATCAGCCCTCAACATGATTGGACTATGATGCTACTGCAATGTGTTAAGTAATTAAATCCTGAAAAGTCTAGAAAAAGTTATGTACACTTAAGTCTTACTGTAATCACTGAGTCCTGATTGTCTTGCTCTTCAGTGCTACGCTAAAGAACATAAGAACATAAGAGACGCCAATGTTGGATCAGGCCAAAGGCCCATCCAGTCCAACCCGCTGTATCACACAGTGGCCAGAAATACCAGTGCCATCAGGAGGTCCACCAGTGGGGCCAGGACATTAGAAGCCCTCCCACTGTTGATCCCCCCCCCTAGCACTAAGAAGACAGAGCATCACTTGCCCCAGAGCCCCTATCTATACCTTGTGGCTAATAGCCACTGATGGACCTCTGCTCCATATGCTTATCTAATTCCCTTTTGAAGCCGTCCATGCTTGTAGCCGCCACCACTTCCTGTGGCAGTGAATTCCAAGTGTTAATCACTCTTTGGGTGAAGAAGTACTTCCTTTTATCCGTTCTAACCCGACCGCTCAGCAATTTCATGGAGTGCCCACGGGTTCTTGTATTGTGAGAAAGGGAGAAAAGTACCTCTTTCTCTACCTGCTCTTTCCCATGCATAATCTTATAAACCTCGATCATGTCACCCCTCAGTCGTCTTTTCTCCAAGCTAAAGAGCCCTAAGCGCTTTAACCTTTCCTCATAGGGAAAGTGTTCCAACCCTTTTATCATTCGAGTTGCCCTTTTCTGCACTTTTTCCAAAGCTATAATATCCTTTTTAAGGTGTGGTGCCCAGAACTGCACACAGTATTCCAAATGAGGTCTCACCATTGATTTATATAGGGGCATTATTATATTGGCTGATCTGTTTTCAATACCCTTCCTAATAATCCCCAGCATAGCATTGGCCTTCTTTATTGCAGTCACACACTGTCTCGACATTTTCAGTGAGTTATCCACTACAACTCCAAGATCTCTCTCTTGCTCAGTCTCTGCCAGTTCAGACCCCATCAATGTGTATTTATATTTAGGATTTTTGGCTCCAATGTGCATCACCTTGCACTTGGCCACATTGAACCCCATTTGCCATGTTGACGCCCACTTGCCCATCTTTGACAGATCCCTTTGGAGTGCCTCACAATCCTCACTGGTTTTCACCACCCTGAACAACTTTGTATCATCCGCAAATTTAGCCACTTCACTGCTTACTCCCAACTCCAAATCATTAATGAACAAGTTAAAAAGCAGTGGACCAAGTACTGATCCCTGTGGTACCCCACTGCTTACCCCCCTCCACTGGGAGAACTGCCCATTTATACTCACTCTCTGTTTTCTATTAATTAGCCAGTTTTTGATCCATAAAAGGACTTGTCCTTTTATCCCATGATTTCTGAGCCTTTGATGAGGAACTTTATCAAAAGCTTTCTGGAAGTCAAGGTAAACAATATCTATTGGATCCCCCTTGTCCACATGTTTGTTCACCCCCTCAAAGAACACTAATAGGTTAGTGAGACAAGATCTTCCCTTACAGAACCCATGTTGAGTCTGCCTCAATAGGTTTTGTTCATCTATGTGCCTACTAATTCTTTCCTTAATAATGGTTTCCACCAATTTACCCGGTATCGACGTCAGACTGACTGGCCTGTAATTTCCCGGATCTCCTCTGGAACCCTTTTTTTTCTGGAACTTGAGCCTTTACGATGCAGAGACTCCCTCAAGAACCTTCTCAGTAGTTAATATATAATTATTTAAAATATTTTTATCCCACTTTTCTCCCCTTTGCGGTTCTGGGGTGGGGAGTTAATTAATTAGGAAACAGAGATCAACAGAAATATTGTTGAGGAGCAAGATGTTCAGTTGGCAATAAATGGCCAAGGAATTTAATCTAAATCTTCACTTGAATACTAAAACATCCAGTTTCGTCGGAAGTCAGTGAGTTCAAAGCATAGATCTGTGAAATAATTTTAAAGTGTCACTTTTATTTTTCTTACCTGCTAGTGTGCTGAATTGCATTATTTTCCAGGCTGGTCTGCGTACATTACATGACATTGGGCCAGAAATCCGACGGGCTATCTCTGGAGACTTGACTGCTGAAGAAGAGTTAGACAAGGCCATGAAAGAAGCTGTTTCTGCTGCCTCTGAGGATGATATCTTCAGAGTAAGTATTGCTTCTGTTACCTCTGTTAACCTATGGGATGAAAAGGTCACAGTGTATCAAAATTGAATCACAAATAGGCATTTACTAATGATGACTGATTAATTTTGCAAAAATGAGACCTATGGAAAAACACATTCTGCTCCAACACACTTTTTCATAGCCACAATACATGACAGTAAACTTGATGGCTTGTTTCAATCATGAAAGAATCAGCTTCAGGCCATCAATGGACAAGGATGGCTTTGTACACATTCAGGGGATTTACCAGGTATGCAGGGAAAAATTATAAATTAACCTCCCGGAAGAGAGAGGAAATGGCTTGATAGGGACTGAGTATGTTCTAGGAGGCACAGAATATTGAGAGCTGCCGTGCATCGGCTACAGAAGAGGAAGGACCTTAATGAGGTTTCAGATCCTTGAGAGGGAAGCAGTTCTTCACAGGCCCAAAGCTTGCTAGCGACAAGACAAAACCTTTGGAATACCATTTATTCTTTGATATTTCTTCATTTTGTAACCACGAGGAAGACCTTAAATGTGATACAAAGAACCAGACTTCCTTAGTAGACATTTTCAGGTTAAGAATTCTGTACCACAGAGAAATGTGTGTGGCATACTCATCCCTAAATGTCTTTCCTCCATTTCATCTGACAACATATATTTATGCCTCTTTTTTATATTTAACTATAACCAAAGATTTATGAGAGAAAGGAGACTTATAGATAAGCAGTTAAAGAACAACATTCCTCCTGGTGGGTCCATGAACCTTTCAATTGCAAGTTGTACTGATGCAGCACAGAGAAACACAGGAAGGTCCAATATTTGGGGAGGAGCTGTGGCTCAGTAGCAGAGCATCAGCCTGAGACCCTAGAAAGCTGCTGCCAGTCTGAATAGACAATAGTGACTTTGATGGACCAAAGGTCTGATTCAGTATAATAAATGATATAAAATTATCTTAAGAATCCTCTTGCCAATAACAGGTAGACTAGGAAATACATATAGTGAATTCCATTTTAGTTATGCTAATTTATGTTTTTTGCTTTCTGGAGCAGCATTGTTGCCTCTGTACCTATCCTCAGGAAACACTTGGCAAGCTTTCTCCTGTAGAGAAGAGTAAAGTTTGAAGGTGTTCTTAATTATTATTATTATTATTATTATTATTTTCGATTTGCTACCCCGCTCAAACCCCCTAAGGGGTCTCTGAGCGGCTTACAGATTAACCTTTATACCTAATCTATGGCCACAGAAACACAGGGTGGGGACAATCCCTACCGGCACCTAGTGGAGGCACTGGAATTCCCGGGTCAGCTTTCGCCGGCTCAACGTCTCGGCAGTCTCTGGCTCCATTTTTCTTTCGACTGTCTTAATACCTTAGGACACCTGATAGATGACTCCTATCCATTCAAATCCATTGTCTCATATCACCTGATCTAGAGGCAGGGAAATAGCCTGCCTGTGTAATCAACAGGTATTTTTAATGGATGGAGGTTATGGCTCTACTGACCAAACAGATTTAACTTTAGCCCCAGTGACTTTACAAAATTAAACAGGACCCTGCCCAACACTGCTTGGAAAAGAAAAAAAATCTGCCCAAGGCTCCTTCTGAGTAACCAATTACGGCTTCCTCGTATCCATGATTTTTTCCATGAGATGCACCTGGAGGATTTACAGCTCATCAAGGATCTGCACAAGAAGAAATGGATGAGATCTTCTGTGTCTTACACAGAATTGGACTAGACATCATGGTTTTCTGGATTTTCTAACAGAATTCTAAATCTCCATGTCCCAGTTTTCTCTCCTTCACGCTTCTGTTACAGTTTTTGTGTTCTTTCTGATCAATGTTCCTATAGATTAGTTAATTAAGCTAAGAAGAAAATGTAAATGGTAGTTATGCAGAATTCCATATTTCTAGCCTGAACATAAGGCAACTAAATGTAAGTCAACCATATTTCACTTCAAACAAAACTACACTCTTGTGCCGGAAACAATAGACCTTTGCTTCATTCACTAAGAATATGTTTTTGATTTTACCCACAGAGAGCTGGTGGATTGTTTGGAAATCATGTCAGCTACTACCAGAGCGATGGAAGAAGTTCGTTTCCTCAGACATTCACCACTCAACGCCCTTTGCACATCAACAAATCTAGCAACAACCAGGGAGACACGGAATCCCCCTCCCATGAGAAGCTTGTGGATTCCACCTTCACTCCAAGCAGCTACTCCTCATCAGGCTCTAATGCTAACATCAACAATGCCAACAACACTGCCTTGAGCCGCTTCCCCAGCCCACCAAGGTACCCCAGCACTGTCAGCACTGTAGAAGGCCACAGTACTCCTTTGTCACCCTCTGCACGGATCCGGGAACCCCCATGGAAGCTTGGTTGCAGAAGGTAAAGGGCATTGGTGGTAGCAGAAGTCCTAAAATGTATCATTAATATGGCATTGTTATTTTATTTATATATCTAATACCCCACTTTTGTTCCCAAGAGGGATCCAAAGTGGCTTTCAACATCATTTTCTCCATCTTTGTATTATCATTATGGTAACTCAGTGAGATAGGTTAGTCTGAGAGAGAGAGAGAGAGAAAGAGAGAGAGAGACTGGCCCAAGGTTGCCCAATTGAATCCCATGGCAAAGGGGAAATACAAACTTATTCCAGATCCTAGTCCAACATTTTAACCACTGCAATAGGATCTTTACAGAACAAATGCATAAAAACTTATTAAAAACCTAATCCACCCTGCACATATATGGTCGTGGAAAGGGCCGTCAAGTCACAGCTGACTTATGGCAATCTCATAAGACTTTCAAGGCAACAGACAAACAGGTGGTTTGCCATTGCCTGACTCTGCATAGCAACCCCGGACTTCCTTGGTGGTCTCTCATCCAACTACTAATCAGAGCTAACAATGCTTAGCTTCCAAGATCTGACGAGATCGAGTTAGCCTGGGCTATCCAGGTAAGGGCAAGTTTCCTCATTATACCGATAGAAGAGGTTGTTGGCCAACGCTATGCATATTTATTCAAAAATGTCCACGGTGTACAGATCCTCTGTGGTCTCAACATGTCTTTTTCACATTGACCTACGTAGTGTATGGAAATGATTCTGTTCCTTTGGGCAAAGTATGTATATACATATAGGTTTATTGATATGTTTTCCTCCCCTTCTTTGGGGTATATATTTCATGAGTTTCGTAGCAGTTTACATCAATTCACATCCATATGGCTGAGAATGATATTGGCCTATAGCAGTCAGATTTGTTTGGACAAAACTATATGCAGTCTCTTAAGAGACAATAAATGTGTGCCATCTAAACAGGGTTTTTCCATTGCTATGCCAAAATTCACATCTAATTTATCTGTATCTCCTTTCATAGTGATCTATAATTCTGATACTATCTTCTTTTCCTTCCCATGCTCCCTTGTGAACTAGGACGCATTACTATGAAGCACTGGGGCGGTAGGTGCTTCTTGGTGCATTATACTTAGGATATGTTAGTTAAATTAAACCACTCTTTTCCAGTGCTAAGAGGCCTGTTAAGGGGGGGAAATAATATATCAGACAGACTAATGAAGGATTTACTCTAATGTAGGGTGAAAATTTACAAGCATGTATTAGTTACTCAGAGTATGTTTCAGTCACCTTTTAACTCAGGGATCCCTGACCTTCTTGTCAAGCCTGCAGGCACCTTTGGAATTCTGATGCAGAGTAGTGGGTGCAACCACAAAACTTGCTGCCACAGGAGGCAGAGCCAACCACAGAATGTCATGGAGTGAGGTCATGCACACCTCTAATAAAGACTCATCCAACATTTCAGACAAGCTCTTTTTTAAAAAAATGTTTTCTTGCATACAAACAGAAACACAGTGAAGACCCTTGTGCTGTAGTGACAGCTGTTGCTGAACCAACTTTTAAAAACTCGGCACAGCAATCCGATCTCCAGTAGTCCTGCTGGTCAAAAGTCCCTCCTGGCCCCACCCACTTTCTAAAAAGTCTTGGTGGGAGCCAAGAAAGGTGTCGGCAGGCACCATGGCACCCACAGGTAACACATTGAGGACCCTGTTTTAACTAATTCAGGAAGTATTTAGGGAATGCTGTAGCACAACTACATGTTTTGTGGGAGTCATCTGATCCTTTTTATGTTGTTGTTTTAATTGTAAGTCACATTGAGCAGGACTCTGAAGAGGCGGCATAGAAATATCTAAATAAATAAATAATATTTGTTCAGTGCAGTAGGATGGAAGTTAATCATTTCCCCCTTGTTGTTTTCCCGATCAGTATCCGCACCCACCATCCTACCCAGTTTGTTCTTTGGCCTGAAGGGGAACATAGGTAACTGGATTGTTCTGTCTAGGGTCAAACAGTAGCTTGGGATAGAGACAATTTTGATCAGGCAAAAGCACTGAGGAAAAGAATTAAACATTCCCTCCCAATGTTGGAACCAAATTGACAGCCTCCTGCAGCACATTTCTGTTGGGAGATAAATCACAGATTTCTCACAAAAAGCATAGCATAGCCCTAACAAATATGATTTTCCCCCTCTTCTAATATGTGTGTATCTATAGGGTAATGGTTATAATCTGGCACAAAGAGAGAGTGGTAATTATTTCATTTTAATTCAGAATAAAGTGGTATGAGTAGGAGATAGCTTTAGTTTATGGGTATAAGACACAGTTTACCATTGATATAGATTAGTAATTACTAGTTACATCTTTTTATACCAATGACCAAGAAAAAATCTTATAGACACATAATCCTTGCATAACAATGTGAGGGAACATTTAACTGATCACTCGGTTTATATCTCAAATTTGTTTCTCCAGAGTGCTACTGTAGAGATTACCAGTGTTGTATATTGCATCTATCGTTAAAATAGTTGTCATTTAAGTGCCTTTAAGAAGAGATGTCTGTGTTTCTGAAACAGCAATTTCGTAAGCATGGATTACATGAAGCTCAAAGTGTTTCCTTTGTCCCAGGCCCCAAATGCCCATATTAGCTTCAGCATTACACAAGAAAGGCTATATGAAAGAACTGCATTACATCTTTCTGTCAGTTTAAACACTGCATAATCTCTTTCCAGAGGTTCACTATGACGCAAAGCAAAGCATTATTATATAGCATTAGTATACAGCATCCATTATAGCATCTACAAATATTCCTCATTAATTCTAAACTGTGACTTTTATTTGGGTCATTAGGTCCTGTTCTAGAGACAGCCAGGTGGCTATTGTTTGTGAGGAGGAGCCTTCTCAGGAGGAAGAAACATATGATGAGCGACTGAATGAAGAAGTTGAATACTGTAGTGAGCCAAGCTTGCTGTCTACTGAAATGTGAGTATTTCACTGCTGAAGCAAAGCGATGTTGAAATTGAAGTATTTGTGTTTCTCATAGCTTCCACAAATTCAAAGTCAAGAAATGAGGCTATGATTACACTGGCTTCCATCCAGACCAAACCTGTGCAATTTGTGACTTTCAAAGCCAACACAACCCTCTCAGTGTGTACGGGTAGCTCATCAGTGCATCAATAAAACTTGGGGAGACTCAGGTTAGAATCCACACTCTACTATAGAAACTTAACTGGGTGACCTTGGGCCAGTCATGTACCCTCGGCCTTACCTATCTCTCAAGGTTGTTGTCAGTATAAAATGGAGAAGAGGGGAACTGTGTAAACCACTTTTGGTCTCCACCGAGGAGAAAGGCAGAATATAAAGTAAGTAAATAAATAAATAGCATACCAGTGAATCAGTAAACGTACTGGTTTCACTGTCTGTCTGGGACTGAAAATAGGGTGCTTGTCAAGAACTCTTGACAGGCACAATACATGGTTTTGGATTGTGCATGGCTTGATGGATCACAAGTTGTACGGGTATCATTCAAATTGATGCATGACTCACTGTTTGTCTGGAAAGGGAAATTCACTTGCCCAGTAGTGTCCAGACTTCTGGAAGGAGTTGGGTCATACAAGTAATCTCCAAAATATTGTCAGCAAGACACACTACATGCCACATTAGTTCCTTACGGTTCCTCCTACCCAAAGCTGTAACAACTCCATAATGAGAAGGCCTATGTGCTTCAATCCAAGTGTATGTGTATCCCAATATTTCATCAAGCCATCCTGTCATGAGATAAAATATATGCTGCTATCTAGTAAACAGAGGGGGCAAAACCTGCATCTCACTACAAATACTGGGATCGGCGCATGTAGGGGGCAAGTTTATTTTGTTCCATATGGCTCTCATTCACTAACAGGTGAGGAAAAAGTAAAATGTTGCATGTGGGGACAATATTGTAGCAGAAGCAAAACTTGCCCTCTACTTATATACTAAAAGACAGTCTAAAGGTTCAGGGAATAGGGTTTCCAGTGGTCTCCCCCCCCCCTTTAAATAGCATACACAAAGGGACCCAATTTGGATTAAAACTGTAGCCTTAGGAAAGGGAAGATTCAGCCCTTACATACATGCTATTTTCTCAGCCTGAAACAGCTCTGTGGATCTCCTATTTGCCCTGTTGGAGAAACATACAGATATGGACATGGATACCTGGATGTTTGCCCCAACAGAAGCTTCTTGGGTCCATTTCAGTCTGGGAAACCAGAGCAGTGGGGGAAGGCTTAAACTCACACTGCAGTCCCTATCTGAATCAAGCCCATGCAACCAGTTGTTTAAAGAAAAAGATAGGAACAATTCACAGAACTCTTATGGTCATGTCTTTATCAGATGGGTAGTTTGGTAACAGAAGCCCTATCAGGTGGAGAGGGGTAAGAAATGTCCTCCTTCCAACCAGGGATCAGGTTGTAAGCCAAGGCTAGCTAATGTATACTTCTTGGTTTTAAAAAGAGTCCTTTTCCATTATAGGCTCTCATACCAAGATGATGAACATAGACAGCTAACTCCTCCTGAAAACTGCAAAGGGGAAGATACCAGACACTCTCCAAAGAGTGGGTTCCTGCGTTCCGCATCACTAAGTAATATTCCTAGCATGTCATGCATGTCATGCCCTGACATATATCACTGTGCTGCAAGTGTTGCTTTTTGTAGTTTATTTTTTTCCTTCAAAAAAGATGAAAGTAGGTCTGTACTAAGGAGCTTATATTTGTACTTATTATGGTTATATCTGTCTCTGTGATGGTGAATACTGTGGGTCTGTCAATCTGACATGATTATATGAAAAATTCTCTGCATCTGTAGAGATGATTAACCTTGCTATTGATTAAAAACCTTTAACCAATGCACGGTTGGTCTAATTTTCACAAATACAAATGTCTAGACTGTACCAATTCAGACTACACACAGGATGAATACTTCCTCTAAAAAATCCCTGCCCGTAGAAAACTAGCATGTCAGATAGAGAGGCTAGAAATCTGTTTCCTAGCATCACATTTTCTATGTGCAAGGCATTTTTTTTGTAAGAGACAAACATTCTATCACCTATGATATGAAATGCTCCAGTCCAAACACTTCAGGAATAACTACACTATAGATCTGTCCCTGAATTAAGATAATCTGACCTCTATCCCAGAATCTTTAAACTAACTCTAAGTGCAGAACTACATGTTGCCTCAGCAAACATATAATTCTAAAATTGCATTTGTGAGGGTAAAATGGATATGAGGCATTTGTAAAGGACAATAGTTAGGGAGGATGCTTAATCCTTCTTGAACCTATTGGTTCTTCCCCAGACAACCTTCCTTCCCACAGAAGTTTACTTTGCCCCATCATTGTTGGCCTTCTGATGCAATGTAAAAATTGTTTGTTCCAGAGGACATTAGATATATATTTCTGACAAGGACTTTTCTGTAAGAACTGCTGCTAATTTGCTAATGTTGGTGACCAATGTTCCCGCTAAGCTGTGGAGTCCTGCGAGCAAAAATTCTCCTTTGTGAGCTATGGGCACTAAAGTTGTGAGCAAGCGATTCGGCTACTGTGTAAATTAGTTTGCTCTGGAGCCATCCTCCCTGAGCTCAGACAAAAATGTGTGTGCCAGAGGCTAAAAAATTGTGAGCTAGCTCACACTAACTCAGCTTAGAGGGAACACTGTTGGTGACTGTCTATATTTTCTGCATTGGTATATTTTTGTTATTTTGTTATGATTTATTGTGGTTTCATCTGATTGTGAGCTACTCCTGAATATTCTTTTTTTGAAAAGTGGGATACAATATTTAAATTGTTGTTTCCATTCTCTGTGCTAAGATGTAATAATTATGAGCTATGAAGAAAAAAAGGGATGGGGGGATCCTGCTAACTATAAAAAAATTGGAAAAGCCAAAAAAGGTTGACGGGGGGGAGGAGGAGGAGGAGGAGGAGGAGATTGGATTTATACCCCACCCTTCACTATCCAAAGGAGTCTCAGAGTGGTTTACAGTTCCTTTCCCTTCCCCTCTCCACAAGAGAAACCCTGTGAGGTGGGTGGGGCTGAGAGAGCTCTCTTGAGAACGGCCCTTGAGAGAACAGCTCTGAAAGAACTTATGACTGACCCAAGGTCACACCAGCAGCTGCATGTGGAGGAGTAGGGAATCAAACCCGGTTCTCCCACTCGTAACCACTATACCAAACTGATTCTCCAAAGGATGTATATATATAGGAAAACAACTTTTTGTTTAAAAACCAATAAGATATGAAAAAGATATGTCCTTTAATAAACAAACTACAAGTGTCACAAAACAATAATAATTATAATGTGTAAAACACTCCTAATATAGAATCATAGAATCACAGAGTTGGAAGGGATTTCCAGGGTCATCTAGTCCAACCCCCTGCACAATGCAATATGATAAAGCAGACAACCAAGCACAATGTTTAACATATTGTCTTCATCAGTGATTCAATACATCAAAAACCACAATACAACTTATTCCTATGTCAAAAAGTATGTGAAAACCATATACAGAGATCTTGCAACTTCAGTAAGTCCTTTATACAATACCCACAGAATTAATGTATCAGAAATGCAGATAAATAGTCAATGTCTCATTGGACCACTGTGACAGACAGTGCATCAGACTAGAGCCTGGGAAGCTGAAGTTCAAATTCCCATTACCCTCAGCCTAACTGACTCCAAGGGTTGTTGTGAGGATAAAATGGAGGAGAATGATTTAAACCACTTTGTGGAGAAAGGTGGTATATAAATGAATGAATAAATAAATAAATAAATAAATGTCCAACTAATATTCATTTCTAATAACCTAAAAAGACAAATGAGGGGGGAAACTAATTTTAAAAATACCACTAAATACAAAAGATATAATAACCAAGCTAAAAGGTTTACTAACCATAGGATTGTTGCGCAGTGCGTTGGGTTGAGTCAGTCCACACCAGCTGAAGTCCAGTTATGCCCTGCTAAGAGCTTAACTGTAGCAAACCACGCTGACACAGTCTTGTGATTAACTATGTACTGTTTTATTATATAATATTTACAGCTCACTGTCAAAGTGCTTCGCAAGACACGCATACAAGAAGGAAAAAAAATTCACAGACTACATACACATATATACAGTAACCAGCCAATGCTGAGTCACTGTGACAGATGCAATAATGTTGGTGACCAATGTTCCCTCTAAGCTGTGGAGTCCTGCGAGCAAAAATTCTCCTTTGTGAGCTATGGGCTCTGAACCGGTTAATTCTGGTTCCTGTGGCTGTCAAACAACTGTCAGTTAGATGGACATGATCACTTATTCTGAAGTCTTAATATGTCAACAAGCATACAGTGTCATTCTAAAGAGTGTTAGCCGAATTGCTTTATATACAGCAATTGGCAATTTATAAATGGGTTCTTGCCAACTATACCAAGGTCCTGTTCCCACAAGGGTTACCAGAGAAGGATAACGAGGCTCTTGTTGTTAAAATCAATGTCTTTTACTAGAAAATATATTTCATACAAACAATACTGATGCACTCATACATTCAATCAAGTTCCTTAGAATTACAGTATTAAAATAAGCACAGTTGCATTAGCAGGTGGGGGTGATGGTGGGCAATACTTATCTGTCTCGCAGCTTTGGTTGTTCCAATGAAGAATGGATGGGAAGAAATGGAAACTAAAGGGATCCACACTACCAGAACTTAGCCGGACTGTGTGGGGGTCTCTTGACTGCAGATCAAGAGATCAAAGTAGAGGCAAGGGTTTGGGGATAGCAAGTGGGACTTAAGAGGGTTAAAAAGCAGACAGGGGTTGTTGTGGGGGTTGCTAGCTAGGAAGGGCCAGGTGAATGGTCCTTTCCTTTTATAGTGGGTCCATTAGATGGGTGGTAACTGTTCCAACCTGTGGACCCACCTACCTGTTAGTCTGTCCCAAAAACAATCCTATTGGTTACCTATAGGAGTGGGAGGTTACCTATAAGGAGTGGCCAATATTGAAATCTAAAACCTTACTCAAAGGAGGGCATCTGGGCAGGTGTGAAAACCTTGGTGTCAGGATGCTCCATTGTAGTGTTGATGAAGCTGGCCATTCTCATTGTGAACCAAATGTCCATTTGGCAAGAAATACCAATGTAGAAACAAAGCAGTGATGGGTCGTACATGACCACAAATAATTCAGCAATGGGGGCTGTCTCTTCTCAAGCTGTTGTTTCTCATTGCTCACAATAATGGAGGTTTGTGCTTCTTCACCAGGCTGGTAACTGTGTAGCTGAAACCTGATTTACACGTAAAGCATATGAAAGCACCTTCTATGTGTAGCATAACAACAGGTGACTTAAAGTGTACAGTTCTCTGAGCCTATGTGTTGTGTGCACAGTCCATTGTGTGTAGCAATAAATATAGTCCATAAAGCAAAATATCAAGTTCATTCTCTAACAAGAGTTAGACCTGGCGTGTCAAACATAAGGCCCATGGTCCAGAACTGGCCTGTCCAGGGCTCTTACCCAGCCCGCAAACGACTGGTACGTATGGAAATATAAGGTGCTCTCCCTTTTATGGTATCTCTCAGAAAAAAACTAGTCTTGCATATGATTAAATACATTTATTGGCGCTTTTGTGCCCCCCCCCCCGGGAAAAAAATTGCTTTCACTGCTAGGAATCAATTGCTTTTTTTTGTGTTTTAAGTAAAAAATATCATTATTTGGGTTTGCCTGTGTCCTTTATAAAGTTTATTTCTCCGGTACCTGGCATTACATTTTATGGCACACATGGCCTGGCCCAACAAAGTGACATTTATGTCAGATCTGGCCCTCGTAACATATGAGTTCAACACCTCTGACTGTTAGACCTTTCTAAGCCCATTGATTTTAATAGATTTGGAAGGCTGTAATTATGTTTATTATTGTTGTTGTTGTTGTTATTACTTTGATTTATTAATTGCCCTATCCCGGCTTACGCTGGGCTCTGGGTAATGTACAAAGGCAAAATTGTGATTTATAGTTTTCTGTTCCCATTCTGGGCCATTTGGTGGGGAGGGGCTTAAACAAAGTATAGAGAGAGAGGGAGAGGGAAAGGGTGCAAGCCAGTGCAACCAACTGTTGTTGCCCTCAACCAAAAGCCTGGCAGAACATCTCTGTCTTACAGGCCCTGTGGAATTGCACAAGGTCCCACAGGGCCCTGGTGTCATTCATCAGGGAGTTCCACCAGGTTGGGGCCAGGATTGAAAAGGCCCTGGCCCTGGTCGAGGACAGGCGGACATTCTTAGGGCCAGGGATCACCAGCAAGTTGTTATCAGTAGAGCGCAAAGCTCTCCCAGGGACATTGTGGAGAAGGGGGTCCCATAGGTACGTTAGTCCCAGACCCGCTCAAGTCCTTTAAGGTCAGTACCAAAACCTTGAACCTGACCCAGTACTCTACTGGAAGCCAGTGTAGCTGGCACAGCACTGGTTGAATATGTGCTGTCCGTGACATTCCCATCAGGACTCATGCTGCTACATTCTGAACCAACTGAAGTTTCCAGATCGGTCTCAAGGGTTTTATTTATTTATTTATTTATTTATTTATTTATTATTACATTTATACCCTGCCCTCCCAGCCATGGCCGGCTCAGGGCAGCTTACAACAGCATAAAAACAGCAATAAATAGTATAATGATCATAAAACCATATAACAATTACAACATTAAAAGGTGCTAACAATAATAATCCAAATACTATTAAACAGATAACAGTTTAAGCATTACATTTGGGATGGCTCTCAGACTTCAGTGCCTTCCTAGTGGTCAGTCCTGATCTAATATTGAGCGACTGGCTCAGGCTGCTTTGAAAATTACAGGGGCAGCACCTGGTTGAACACCTGGTGGAACAGCTCCATCTTGCAGGCCCTGCAGAACTGCATAAGGTCCCACAGGGCCCTGATCTCCTCCGGGAGCTTGTTCCACCAGAGAGGAGCCGCCACCGAGAAGCCCTGGCCCTGGTTGTAGTTAGCTTGGCATCCTTTAGTTCGGGAAGGGTGAGTCGATGTTGAGACCCTGATCGCAGTGCTCTCTGGGGAACATGTGGGGAGAGGCGGGCCCTCAGGTATGTAGGTCCCTGTATATGGTTTTCACCATTGCCAAGTTGTTGCATTCAAGGAAGGAAACCAACTGCCTAATCAGCCGAAGATGAGAAAAGGCCGACTTGGCAGTGGCTGCTACCTGGCCCTCCATTCTTAAGGAGGCATCCAGGAGCACTCTTAAACTCCTAACCTCCGGTGCTGGCACCAAAGGAGCCCCATTGAGGGTCGGGAGTGGGATCCCTACCTTTGGTCCGCCCCGACTCAGGCACAGGACCTCCGTCTTTGTTGGATTCAATTTCAGTCGGCTCAGCCTAAGCCAACCAGCCACGTTAAGATCTTCCGGTTTGGAGTCGGACCAGCCGCCCAACAAAAGATAGAGCTGGGTGTCATCAGCATACTGGTGACATCCCAACCCATATCTCCATGCAATCTGGGCAAGGGGGCGCATGTTAAATAGCATTGGGGACAGCACCGCCCCCTGAGGCACTACACAATCAAGTGGGTGCCTTCGGGAAAGCTATTCCCCCGGCACCACCCTTTGTACCTGTCCTTGGAGAAAGGAGACAAGCTATTGCAAGGCAGAGCCCTGAATTCCAATGTCGGCGAGGCGATGGGCCAGTAGCTGATGGTCAACCATGTCGATCGCAGCCGACAGGTCCAGCAACAACAGCACTGCCGATCTGCCTCGATCCAGATGCCTCCGGAGATCATCTGTGAGGGTGACCAATGCCTTCTCCTTCACATGACCCAGGCAAAAGCCAAACTGGAAGGGGTCTAGAATGGAAACATCATCCAAAAAGCTCTGAAGGTGCATCGTCTCAACCCTCTCTATTAACTTGCCCGGATAGGCAAGTTGGTAACTGGCCGGTAGTTCACCAATTTGGTCAGGTCCAGGGATGGTTTTTTAAGGACAGGACATACCACTGCTTCCTTAAGTGCTCCTGGGAACACTCCCTCCGAGAGGGACACTGACTATTTCCCCAGGTCCACCTTGTAACCCAACGCGGCCGGCTTTAATCAGCCACAAAAGGCACAGATCCAGGGAACAAGTGGTAGGGTGTACAGTTAGAAGCAATTTGTCAACTTCCTCTAGGCTGAGCAGATCGAAATGATCCGTAACCTGAACAGAAGACGTGCATGGGGCCTCAAGTTCACTCACTGTTTCAAATGTGGCAGGAAGGTCACAGCGGAGTGACAAGACTTTATCTGTGAAATAGGTCACAAAAACCTCACAGCCAATATCGAATTCCCTAACATTTGGCTTGCCTTGTGGCAAAGTAGTAATGGACCAAATCGTTCTAAACAATTGGGCTGGGTGTGAGCTCACAAACGCAATCGAAGCCACAAAGTACTCCTTCTTTGCAGCTTTGACTGCCATCTCGTAGGATCTCATAAACATCCTATTACATGCTCTTGTGACTTCGTTGCAGGCACACCGCCACTGTCTCTCTAACCGTCTTAGCCCTGGTTTCATAAGCCACAACTCCTGGGTATACCAGGGAGCAAGCTTAGAACGGGGACGCAGAGGGCATCGGGGAGCGATCTGTGCCAGTCCTCTACTAGCTCATCTAATGAGCCGCCAGGGGGCAGTGGATCCCGAAGAGCCATCTGAAGCCGCTTTGGGTCCATTTGGCTCCGTGGGCAAGCTAAAATACACTCACCGCCCAAACAGGGTTGGGGTGGGACATTCAGTCAGGCCCTCAGGGCAAGGTGGTCCAACCATGGCACCGCCAGAGCAGTGATCCAGTCCACCGTTTCCCCCGCTGCAAAGATCAAATCGAGCATGTGCCCAGCTTGGTGAGTGCGGGTCGTTACATATTGGGAGAGTCCCAGCACCGCCATGAACAATACCAGGTCCACTGCCTGGGTAGAGGTCGCATCATTGGCATAGACATTGAAATCACCCAGGACTATCAGTCTAGGGTGTTCCATTGGCCAGCCTGATACGGCCTCCACCAGGGATGGCAAACTACTGGCCGGTGCATTGGGTGGTCGGTACACTAGCCAAATCGCTAAACTCTCCCCAGCCTCCCACACCAGGCCGGCACACTCAATGCCCGTGATCTTTGGTGGCAGGAGCGCCCTGAAGGAGTAAGCCTCCTGAATTAATAGGGCCACTCCTCCCCCCGCTCCCTAGTCTGCGATTGGTGAAGGACCCAGAACCCAGCTGTCTCCCCTTCTTGCACCCAGGTCTTGGTCATGCATGCCAGGTCTACATTCTGCTCAAGCAGGAAGTCCCAAAAGACCATGGTCTTATTATTTACAGACCTGGCATTGCACAACACCAATGTTGAAGGGGGGTCATTTGTCCTAGCCCCACTGCATACAACCTTTGGGATGGGATGCAGCCTGGAAGGGGGCCAAGCTATTCTACTTCTCCGTCCCCATCCCTTGACTCCATGCCTGGTCCCACCGCTATACTTTCCCCTCCCCAGGTAGGTCAGCGTAGAGCAAGTTACATTAGTCTAGCCTGGAGGTGACCATTGCATGGATTATTGTGGCTAGGTCAGGGCATGACAAGAAAGGAGCCAGTTGCCAGGCTTGGTGAAGGTAGAAAAATGCCAGCCTGGTAGAATGCGTGCCTTGGGCCTTCATTGATAGGGAATTATCCAAGGTCACACCCAAACTCTTGACAGATGGCGCGGGTGTCAGTGGCACCCTATCAAAGGTTGGTAACCTGAACGCCAATCCTGAAGCTCCCCCCCACCGCAACAGAACCTCCGTCTTTGATGGATTTAGTCCCAGCTTGCTCTTTCTCACCAGTGCTCCAAGAATTCTCAAAAATAATGGACAAAGGCTCAGAAATTACATCTGCAAGTTTTTTAAGTACCCTTGGATGCAGTTCATCTGGCTCTGAGGACTTAGTCTCATTTAAAGAAACTAGATGTTTATGTACTACCCCATGCCGATCCTAGGCTGCAACTCCCTTCCCTCATCATGTGTTCTGTTTTTGCCATATTGAGTACCGTTTCCCTCACAAGAGAAGACTGAGGAAAAGTAGGAATTGAGCAGTTCTGCCCTTTCATCACCTGCTACAATTTCACTTTCCTGTTCCCGCAATGGGCCTACCATGTCCTTGCTCTTTTTCTTACTTTGAACATAAGAACCTGTTTTTTTTTTTAGCATCTCTTGCTAGCCTAAGCTCACACTGAGCTTCAGCTTTCCTAACTCTCTCTCTCTCTACAAGCACTGGTTATTTGTTTATATTCATTATTGGTTATGAAGCCCTCCCTCCACTTTCTGAATGAGTCTTTTGAGTTGGAGGGCCACCCCACGTACTCCTACATTGGCGAGGGCGAGGCAGTGAGGCAGCAGATCATGATCAACTGTGTCAAACGCCACTGTGAGGTCAAGCAACGACAGCAGCGCCAACCCGCCTCGATCCAGTTGTCTACGAAGATCATCCATCAAGACGACCAGCACAGTCTCCATCCCGTGACCAGGGTGGAAGCCAGATTGGAATAGATCCAATGCTGATATGTCATCCAGGAAGCCCTGAAGCTACTCAGCTACTGCTCTCTCAATCATCTTATTTAGGATTGTAATGCTATTTAATTAATCCACTAGATACTGCAGTGAAAGTACTCACAGATGGTTGACTGATATTATGATTATGATAGTTTTGTGACAATTACTGTTTGTTTATCAAAGGACATATTTTGTTTGTATTTTATAAGAATGGGCTAAAATATACATATTGACCAGGGAGGCATTTCAAGGCAGATGGGGTGGGTAAGGAAAGAACTGCATGTTCCCTGTCATCTAGCAGTTCTCCCTTGCAAATGCATTGTTCTCATATTCGCAGGATGAGGCAAAACAGGGCTGGAGATTGTGTGTGTGTCTTCTAACCTGTTTTATAGTTTCACCTTATACACCTGTGCATTTGGCTTTTCAGATCGAAGAGCATCCTTTCACCTGGAATGCCTAAAAAGACAGAAAAATCCAAGTGCGGTAGGCCCACAAAAGACAGTACTACCTTTGCATCTGGTACATCAACAGGTGAGTTTCTTCTCTACTAAGCATCTAGCCATGGGATATCACTTTTCTTGAAGGGTCAGCTAGAGAACCTGTAGAATTCTTCTGAACCCAGCTCAGATCCTAGACAGGAAATGGCAGTCATGGTCGGGAGTTCCAGTTTATCAGTTGCATCTGACATCCTACCCAACTCTTTTGTGGAAATGTCATTATCACTCCTGCTGTTGCAATCTTGTCCTTGAAGTACCTTTTTTGATGTCCATTTCGTATTAAATTGGAAGCTGGTTAGGAAACTGTAGCTGGTTTACAATCTCTCCTACATTTGCTAACTGGGGATGGGTACCAGGAGCACACCTGCTTGTATTCTCTTGCATAAAACTGCTGCTATCTTTGTTCAGCTACACTGGCTGCTAATTAGCTCCCAGGTTCAATTCAGAATGTTGATTATTACCATTGATATCCTATATAGTATGGGGCCATTATACCTGAGGATTGCCACCACCCATATGAATTCCTGCATCTATTGAGATCTTGGTGGGGGCTTGCTTCATGTTCCATCTTTCTCAAGGTGTATTTCAGTGACTGCCTCTAGCAGAGCCTTATCAATTATTGGAACATATCGCTAGAACTCTCTCCCAAAAAGAACTACATCTGTGTTCTTTTTTTAACATTTATGTAGCAAACAAAGATGTTTAATTTTGTCAAGTATTTGTCATGAGTTAGAAAACTGATTTTGAAGTCTTTTTTAATCTCTTGCAGCACATTTCCTCATCAAGACTAAAAAGCCCTCAAGGCCAAACTAGATGTGACAGCATCCATGGGTCTCATCTGTGGATGCTGCCACCATTTTTAAAGGAATTAAAAATGGCCGCTCTGTGTGTGTGTGTGTGTGTGTGTGTACCTGTTTCGACACTTGAAAAGACACGGGGGAACAAGACAGCCTCAACCTGCCTCTGCTGGCCATGCAAGATTTGTACAGTAGCATGGACTCTGAAACATCCCTTCACCACCAGGGGAATTGAAAGAGATATTTCCCAGGGGTGGTTAAGGAGGTCACATTTGCAGGGAGACTTATCCCACTGTCATGTGGTAACTGCCCTGCAGTAGACAGAGTCAGTTGTTGGTCACTGCTGTTCTGGTGGCTTGGTACAAAAATCAACTGCTGGTGTGCCTTGGGAAAGGGCTTCCACCTTGAAGCTGGAGACATGCTCTGTGCAGGCTAAGGTCCCACACTGGGGCTTGATCACTATTCTAATGCCACCTCTTTGAGTGCGTAGGGCACCCCTGCATCTGGGGCCCCAACAAAACTTTGTGAAGCTGCTCTACTGAGAAGTCAAAGGCTTCTTCAGAACAGTGCTGTTTAAGGTCCTGCCATAAGACTTGACAACCTTTCTGTTGCCAGTCACCAGAACATGCAGAGCACTCCTGCATCTGGGCCCTGGAAAAACTTCCTGAAGTTCCTCCATTGAGGAATCAAAGTTCTTTTCAGAATACACTCACAGCCTTTACCACAACTAAGATGCAAATGTTGCTGCTTGCTGAATGGTTCTCCCCCCCCCCCAACTGTTTTGGAGGGAAAGAAAGAGGCCAGTAGAAAGAGGTAGAAAGTCAAGATAAATGCTGGCCTAGAATCTCTATAAAGCAGAACTACTCAATTATCCCTGAGGTTTTTCTTAAGGCAGAAAAAGAACTGTTGGAGGAGGAGGAGGAGGAGGAGGAGGGTGTCTCCCATCATGTTCACAGGAAGCTGTCCCTGCTTCAAGTCCCAATGGGAAGAATCATCCAGCCAAGGACACCTGCCTGCCCTTAGTGAAAAATAATTTTTAAAAATAGGGCAGCAGAATATTAAAGCAATGCCCTCCAAGTCACTGGATCCAGGTTCCCTAAGTTTGAATTTATTTCAAGACACCTTAAATAATTTTTCTTCCATATTATGTTCGAAGTTGTAACCACTGTCACATTCCATCTTCCTGTTTCTCTCCTCTAGGCACTAGCAGTTGCAGGTATGAGTCCTCTTCTTCAAAGATGCCATTCTCCTGTAAGAGCCTCTCGATCATGTACCACACCCTTCACTACACCATGTACACAAAGCTGGCCGCAGCAGCCCATTAAAACCTTACAGCTTGATGGAGAGGAATCTAATGAGAAACTCAATAGTAGCTTCCCATCAGTACAGTGCAGCTCCTTATATTCTGATGGCACTAACTCTGGCAGCACTCGAAAAGTGAGGCCAGTCTCCCTCACAGTTCCCAGCCAGACTACAGAGTGTGGGAGGCAATTTCACGGCAGCGCTAACAGCCTTGTAGAAGCGGTGAGTTTTTACTTATATATTTATTTAAAACATTTGCATTTTGGCTTTTCATCCATTTAGGCCCCTCGAGGTGGTGAATAGTTAAAAAGACATTTTAAAAATCAACTTAAAACACAGTACATATGTAAAAGCAGCAATTAAAACAAACATGAAGGATAACTAAGGGATGCTAAATGAAACAAAAAAGCCTTGCACCCATGGGCAGAAGACAATGATAGAGGGAAACAGATGAATCTCCCTGGGGAGGGAATTCCACAGTTTTGATGTGACATCAGACAGTAATAGTTGTACTGATAACAGCAGTAAGAGCAAATATGGTAATCCCAATACAAATATGGGGTTGGGAAAATGTGTGAATATATTTAACAAAATAGTATGGCATCTTCAAGTATTCAAACTGTTTCACATACATCATCTCATGGTACTCCTTGCAACAACCATTTAAGGTAGGTATAATTATCCACATATTACAGATGAGCCTGATAGAGTGGCTTGCCTTACACCAACTAGTGCATTCATGGCAGAGGTAAGATTTAAACTGGGGACGTTCTATATTGTAGCATAGTTCACCATGCTACAACAGCTCTACTGGACCCATGATTCCTTAGTTTTCCTGCCATTGTAGCCCCTTCTTCCCAAACCAGGATTGCTTTAACCACAAAATTCCCTAAAGTAATAGCTTCATCAGCTACCAGCTATAGTAATAACTACAATATGCAGCAAAGTGGTTTAATGTTGTTAGTGCTGTTCATTAAACTACATTGTCTGTATTGAAGCTAGGAGATTGCCAAGAGATATGTTAGAATGTGTTAATGGCACTGAGGAAGAAGTAGCTGCTCCATTAGGCACTATAATGCAGACTGGAAGTAAAAGGAGCAAAATACAATTCCTCTAACCAATGCGAAAAGCCCAATGTGGAGAAGGTGTTAAGGAAGAGGATGAAAGATGATAATTTTACTGTAAAGCACAATACCACCACCACATTCATACACATTGTTAGTGCTAAGAACTTCACTGGTCTTGTTTTTGCCCTGGCTATAACAAATGATGCTAATATCAATTTCTACTCTTTTTTCCCTGTCTGATCTCCTGGCTCATTAAAGGTCTTGATTTCTGAAGGACTGGTGCAGTTTGCTCAAGATCCAAAGTTCATTGAAGTTACGACCCAAGAGTTAGCGGATGCCTGTGAATTGACGATAGAAGAGATGGAGAATGCTGCAGACAATATTCTCAATGGTAACAGCAAGCCAAGCCCCAATGGCAAACTCTTGCCTTTTGTTAACTGCAGGGACTCAGGGCAGGACTGTATGGGAGAGGAAGAAGCAGCAGCCCAGAACCCAGATTGTAAAAAAAGTCAAGAGGAGTCTAAGGACAGCAGGATTTATATCAGCAGCCTGTAGTTGCCAAGGCTGAAAGTAATGCTGGTTTTTTAATTTGTTTCAATGTTCCTAATGGGTTTGTTTCAGAAGTGCCTCACTGTTCTCGTGACCTGGAGTAACCAGAACAGCGTTCTTCATTCGTTTCTGTTGGGACGAGTCGCAGAGTTGGGTGGTGTAAAAGAGCTTTTCAAGAGTGAATATACAACCCCAGCATGTGTCCATGAAGGAGAAGGAGGAGAGTGAGCACCCTCCTCCTTTCAGTCCCTGCACAAGGAACAACGGCTGCTTCCTGAATATGAAGGAAAACCTCAGCTTCCTGTGGATGGCCCTAGTCAAAAGGACACTTCATCAAACGGGTGTCTTTCAACTTTGCTTGTACAAAAAAAATCATTTTGCACATATTCTGTATGAGCCTCAACGTCTCCATAAAGCCAAGGCCCTTTTGATCTGCAAGTGGAATAGTAGACTTCTGCTGTGGATCCCTGCACTTTGCTGAGGAGGAGGAAGCAGAGGCTGTAAGGGTACAGGAGATGCAGGTGGCAATATTGCAGATGCTTGTTGACAGAAATGCAGAGACTCCCAGGCAGTTTTCTCTGCCAACCAATCAGAGCTCAGGCAGTCTTCCTGCCAACCAATCAGAGCTCAGGCAGTCTGCTGTGCCAGCTGCTCAAAGAGCAGGAAGCCAGCTCTGCCAAATCGGAGTTCAGGCAACCCGCCCATTTCGAAGAGAGGTGGTGATGGGCTTATGTAGATCTCTCCTTGTTTTTGCTGTTTGATATTTTCTTGAAAGCATGTTCCGATTTTTTATTTTTGAATACTTTATTTTATTGTATTTTATTTTTTTGAGGGAGAGGGGTAAAGGAAGTGTTTACAAAAGTTTTGTAATCACCTACCTTTTATTTTAATTTTTCACCTTTGCAAACGTTTAAAATTGGTTTGATTACGTTGTAATATTTAAAATTTTGTTTTCCTCCATTGAAATTTGGTAGAAGCTAATAATGATATTAGAAGAGTTTTGCCAACCATTATGTACACCAGAATTTGTAATTTTATTTGAAATAATGGGAAACTCCTTTTTTGTTGTTGTTTTATAATTTAAAGATAGTAGGCAATGCACTTGATATAGTCTTGCACATATGAATGATCGATTTGGATTCTATTTAATGCTAGGTTAATTACGGGTGAGTGAGCGAATGAGCAGGACTGAGTGAGAGAGCGAATGCACGCCTGAAAGTGTGTAAGTGCATACAGTTCTTCACTTCCTGGTTATAACTGCAGGAGAACTGTATCTGGGGTCATTTGAGTGCAAAAAAACAAAAACAAAAAAACCACTGTCTCTGCTTCTGAAAGGGGAATCAGTAACTCTTTGCATTTTCTGTTCCACAAGATATGCAAAAACAATGCAATAATATTGATTTTGAATACAATTTGTGAATTGTGTTGGCATTAAAATTGTATAGAAAAAACAAGGGGATTAAACATACAAAAAAAGTGAGAAGGAGCTACGTTTCGATATATTCCGTGTGATGTTTTATTGCATTGATAATGTTTCTGTTGAAGAAACCGTAATACTTGAATTCAGGTCAGTTTCAGTATTTTTGAACTATTTTTTTAAAATGAATTGCAATTGTGCCAAGCGAATATAATGAATTAAGTTTGTTTAAGGGAAAAATAACAATTCTTGCATATTTTGCTGCATGTAAAGTAAATCATTTCGTATTTGGAGTGTGCCAAGCTTTACCTTTGAACTTTTAAGTGCTTTTCTACGTGTGGTTGGGGAAAATGGGATTCTAAATTTTTTTCATTATTTTTTTTTAATTTGTACAATGAACAAAGTGTACCTGGTGTTAAGTAACTATTCTGTAACCCACTGACAGGTTGAACGTTGACTGATTTTGCATATCTTGTGTTCACTTTCCTTTTTCTGCACTCCCCTTAACATACACGATAATGAATTGAAATGGGAAAAGCACCTTGCTTTCTGACGCTGGGAATTTTTATCCAGATTTCACTCCTTTGCACAGTTTCTCTCAATAATTCTTCTCACTAAAGGGTGGCAAAGTCCACATGCCAGGATAGTCAGGTAGAACTGAGCTGGCATCAGCAACTCTTAGGAAAGGTTAGAGGGAATATATGATTTCTTGTAGTATGGACAAAAATTCCTAATAGAATGAATTAATTAACATATTGACACCCAACAGGAAAGAACTATTAATTAAAATTCCTTTAGGAACTAGTCATAGTTAAACGGTATGCTTCTGCCACATGAAATTTGCAGATGGTACTACAGATGCTATAGAGGATACACAAAGCATTGTTAAATAATCCAGATAAACTGGAGAGGTAAACTGATAACAAATATAAAATTAAATCAAAAATAGACATGTTGTCTATAGGAAAGAAGAACCAGATGTACAAGTGTAAGACGCAGAAGAACGCACAAAGTGGTAGTATGCTGAGAAATATTTAAATATTATGGTAAATAAAAAAATAAGATTTAACATTTTGGTAATATGGCTAAAGGCAAATATCATTACAGGCTACATGGTTGGCAAAACTGTATAAGACATACTGGAAGTAACTGTTGTTTTTAGAACCATTTTACAGGAATATTTACAAATTGGAAAGGCTTTACAAAATTATAACTAAAGACAACTAATGCAAAGAGCCAGTGAAGATACCATAAGTCTAGGTTACAGAGAAAAATGAATAATGAAGTCAAAAGGAACATATTGAGTGTACAACAACATCAGGTGGCAATTGTTTACTATGACCCAAATCCAGAGATATATGCACACAGCAGTGTAACACCCACAAATCACCCTGTATCTGAGTATATATCTGCTACCACCCACAGGCTGATTTTATTACTGGTAATCTCCTCTGAGTGCTGCAGTCATCTGTTGGGGAAGGGGAAGGAAAAGGGACTGGATACAAGCAGCCCCAAATAGGTGTGTTGCCACTGACAGTGCTGCCCACAATTAGGGTTATATCCATAGTTTGCATTTCAGCAACAGGAATCCACGGGCATCCCCAGAAGTTTAAACCAGTCCTGGGAATCATGCGTGAAGCACTATGTTGTGTGGAGATTTCACAAATCAGGAAGGGATGCACATGCACATGTAAATATAGTACATTTCAGCAGACAGGGAAAGTTAAAGCAGGTGAAAACCAATATGAGTATGACAACTGTGTAGGATTAATGTGTCTGTAGAGGTTATGGAAAGATAAATGGATATTTGCTGGGGGTGCTTTGGATAGAAGATATCTAGCCTCAGCTTATGTTGAACTACCTGTCCTGTAGGGCTCCCCATCCAACATTTAATATTCTTACATGCCAGAAATATGAAACTACTTACTCTGGAATCTTTTAAATGAACTTTTTAAAACTATTCTGAAGTCAGTGGTTTATGTATCATATGATAGGCCCCCCAATATCTTAAGTGTCTCTCAAGAAGAAAGTCAGAATCTTCAGCAAAAAATTCTTGTATACCTGATCACCCTAATCCTGCACACCTACCTTTGCTGCAGCAACTCCAATGGAGACGTTCACTGTTGCAGCTCTGAAACCCCTATTAATATTTATCCCATACTTATCAGCAAGTAAAACATCTATTTATATTTATCCATTACTTTAAGGAAGAGGCAATTCAATATAGAACTAAATGCACTTTGCCATCAACTGTCTTGAGCAAATTTGATCCTATGCTGGATTATAGCCACTATTTTGTTCTATTTTGTGTCCTGTGCTGGAATTGGAAGTCTTACTCCCAATCGTATAGATTTTAACAACAGAGAGCCACAGCATTGTATCAAGGCTGTAAGGCTCTAATGCAAGATAGCATTATGTCCTCCAGTGAATTAACACTTTAAAAAGAAAAATGCAAATCACACATACAAGAAAAATCCATAATGACAGAATTACAGCAAGTTATGCTGTTGTTTATACTTTATATTACAAAATTGAATGAAACAAGACCAGTTACTCATAAAAATGCTTTTTGCTTTGCTATATTTGGAACTCCCATTTCTAAGCTTGCATTCACTATATTGTGTACATTCACTATGATTTAATTACTCCAAATTAGCAGCCTCTGTATTCATAATCAGCATAGGCCAATTCTCACCTATATGTTCATCACAGTGGCTGTAACATCAGGCGTTACATGGCCCATAACTCCTCAATATTTATTTAAAATATTATATCCCATTTTTTCTCAATCCATAGGATTCAGTAGGGTTTACATCACATTTAAAAAACAAATAAAATTGCACAAGAAATAAAAATTGTATAAAAACAAATACCACAACAAAAGAAAGCAAACTACTCAAACTTTACTGACAGAACTTTCATACACATTCACATTGTCAAAAACACAAAAGAGCCATTCTAATGTTACCTTTGCAATGTAGCAGCAGCTGCAACATAAGTTCTTCCTCTGATATGAAGATAATGTCTAAACCCCCAGCCCAAGTAGGAGGAGTCAACCAAATAGTTCCTTCTGATGCCAAGGTTGCTCCAGTTTTGGGAGAATCAATGCTGGTGAGGAATTTATGCTTCATGGACTCCTCGCACATCATCCCATGTGGTTTGGGAAAAAATTGTGCTGTAGTTCTCACATCACAGTCAAGTAATGTCAGAATAGAGTCCAAATCTTTTTGATTCAATCAGTTAATACATTCATCTATGAGTTCTTAAGTGGAGACTAAGAGCTCATCAGTCCCACAGATCTGTTCCATTAATAGTAGTGTCTTTCTTCAGCACAAGGCACCTTCCTCCAACAAAAGAACAGATCCATGGGATCCCATCAAGTAGTGTACATGGATGTGGGAACCAGTCCTAAAGTGGATTAGAATCCCCACTCTCACCATAAGCGTGCATTACAAATGGAAGGGGGGAAAACAGTTAGTTGCATTTATTCTTCACTGGTCATGAAAACACTACAGGAGGATAAATTAAGAGTTATAGCTGTACCTGACACACATTTGTGAGCTTACCACCATTTGTTCAAGGTACTGAT